TTGTCATTATCCTCCCTTGTATTTATCCATATGTTGTAGATATCCTAATCATTATAGGATTAGGATAATCATCCCCTTTATTTGTAGCAATCCTTATCTCCTAAGGAATATGCTTTATTCTCTTGTATGTATATATATATATGTAACCACGTGATTAATAATACTATGAGAGTTACAACCTTCTTTATTCTTTAACAAACAATACATTTTACTTTTTCGACATTTCTTTATCTTCATTTCACATTGTTTTCATTTACCAAGATTTTCTAACTCAGTTTATTCTCCATCTGTGCAACGTTGTGGGTGGATTCTTCATCATCTTAGGACTCTACATGGTCACTTGGGCATCACTCAAAGAACGAGAAACAGCAGTTTCCAGAGATTGGGATGCTGTCTCATGGTGCAAGAACTTCAGAACCTCTGGGGTATAACGGGACAGTTAGTAGAATAGGGCAGTTGTTTTCTGGATTACCCAGTTCCTCTGTGAAATCTACAGACTAAAAACTAAAAAGAATCCAACCCATATATAGTTAAGAATCAGAGAGCAGGACCCATTTAACAAAAGTTTGTAACTTTCCACTTTCATTTTTTACTAATATATTATTTGATTCCCTTGACAATTAATCACAGATTCAAAGAGTTTGCCCAAATGCCAATATCTTTTGTTCTCTTTAACTTTAAAGTTCGTCTGATTGTGAACTAAAGTCACATCTAGACCAAGAAAGTAATTAATTCGTATTATATTTTTAGATCTAACCAATATAACTTTCTGGTAAGAACTGACATTTTATCTGAACTTTTGAATGGTTTTAGCAATGAATAAGTGCTGAAGCTTCCCTTGATAATGAAACTAACTTGTGTGCTTTAACAAAAAGTATTCATCTCTCTATTTTTTTCACACGTTTTCCATTACATTTTCCCTGTTTTTAAATTGTCCTCGACAGATTTGTAACAAGTGACGTCCATGTTTGTCTCACTGAAAAGGTTCAACAATGAAGATTGCAAATCCTAATAGAAGAAACACGAAGAATTAGACAGCAACATCAAAAGTCAAAATGGTAAATGATTTTACTTTCATAATCAAATTCAAATAAATTTGAAATTGTGCAGAAACTAATCATTCATTTTTCAATTTATAGAAAACGAACTCGCAAATTCTACCAATAGTTCTTCAACATGCTCTAATATGGAGTTTCAGAAGAAAAGAACATGCTGCTCCAGTATGCATGGAAAGCAACATCACATGAAATAACAAAGGTTATGTTAACTAATTTTGTGTCATTATATTTTTCATTTACATAAATCAACTAATTTGAATGTTTGGTTTCAGCGACCAATATGAATATTCAAGATCTGGAAAAAGGAAATATAAACTCAACAGTATTCAAATTGCAACACCAAGAGCCAAATGTAATTTATGGCAATGGTAAACATATCAGTCTTAATTTTCCTATTCCCCTATCATTTTTGCTTTGATGTGAAACATAGAAAATATCTTCTCAAAAAAAAAAAATATCTTCTCAAACATTGGAATATAAATTTTTTATTTTAGACAGCTCAATTAAATTCTTTAAAATTCAGCATAAACTCAAATATTGTAATCAAACAGAAGTTTATAAACCTAAATACAGAAGATGAAACATACCTGTTAGGCAACAAAGAGGAGATTGTCTTTGATCAACTAGTATGTAGAAGAAAATGAACCTGCATCAACACAGGAGCTGCATGTACTCAGGGAGAATTTCTTCAAAGACTCAATAACAAGTGGCGTGCAATATTCAACGTAAGAACCAAATCCAAGATAGTTGTAAGACCCCAAGTTAAGACACCTTGTGCTCTTTGTTGTTCTCCTGCAACCAAAGGTTGAATCTTTGAACACCCATCAAAGGTGACTAATTCTAAACCAGTAAATTTTTAAGCTTTAGATAAGGTTTTAATCTGTGGACAACAAAGGATAAATGGGGTTTCAAATGAAATCAAATGGGACTAATTCTAAACCGCCAAAGTTTCAACCTTTTGAATTAATATTAATCTGTCAAGACAAAAGGATAATCCCCCTATATATTAAAAGGGAAGTTACTTTAGTGATTTCTCAATAGGTGACACTCATAGAGAGCTTCTAGGATTAATTCTCTTAATTTTATTGGTTGATTTTTTGGTTTTTTTTTTTTATTCAGCGTCCAAGAGTATTAAATGCAAAAATATTATTCGATTTCATAATCTTTCTAAATTAGAAAAATCTTATTAATTACTTTCCTTATATTCATTTTTGAAAAATTGCGCAAGACATCGGCAATTAAATGCAAAAATATGTGCAGACTTCAAACATTAGGAAAACTCGACAATATATAAACGCAATCCTAAAGTCTTACATATTATACAATACAATTTTTGATAATAGCAAATTTTAAAAAATGTTATGGCAATGGTTCAAGCTACCAAAAATCGAATGTCTTTTATCAGGCAATTGAGACTGTGTAAAGATACATGGCGTATTAAGGTTAGGATTCTTCGTTTATGGAGAAACTACAATAGAGATTCCGGAAACACCAACGAAATGGTTTTTGCCGATAAAGAAGTAAATACATTACTTGATTTATCATTTACACAGTCGTGTTTTTTTTTTCTCAATCCAACTAGTTTAACTTTATCTCATCACCGTCTGGGGGACAAGAATTCATGCTCAAATTGGTGAACAGCTCATAAAACAATTTGAAGGGAAACTAACAGAGGGCGATGCGAAGGTCATCCAACTATTCAAACTGTACGATGCTATGGGTGATTATCGAACCACCGCGCATCCCTAACAAAATTGGATTCTTTCAAACTACTTTTGTTAGACCAGCGGATGACTTCCCAAGTAAAGTTCCGAAGAAGTATCTTGTGGATTACAATGATATTATTGATGGAAAGCTTGATAACAATCATTTGGTTGGTGAGTTAATTCATACAATTACTTAAGTTTCTGTATTTTTTTCGTATGCAACGATTTCACTGAGATTTTAATTTCTTCTTAACTTTAGTTACCTTCGCATCTTTTGTAAACAAAGTCATAAAAGGAAAAGATAATTTGAGGCTATTGATTGAGTTACGTGACCAAAAGTAAGTTTAAATACTTTGCCTTTTCCTTTAATCTATTTGCTGAGCTTTGAATAATCGATCCATTAACCTAACTGTATATTATATACAGTGATGTCAAGTTGATGTGTACTCTTTGTGGCTGTTATGATAAACAAGTATACGATTACAGTATGTTAAACATGTCCATAATGATTATTTGTCTTATCAGGTTCTGTCTATTAAAGAGTGGAAAGGTATAGTTCCTCCACCTATATTTGTTTAAATGATTCATCTCATAACATGTTCATAAGCTCGTGCTATTATAGGTGCTTACTCCGTATTTAGCGGGTATAATTCAACTCATATTATGCTCAACCCAACACTGGATTTAATTGATAATTTTAAAGTAAGGTACGTCTCCAATGTGACAACTATCCACAGTTAGATCTGATTGTATTTTCATTCGAACAGCATACTCAAACGTTTTTTTCTTATCGCTTAATTTATTGTGCAGTCTCCCTAATGATTCACTTGCTCTTACAAACACCGATAGTAGCCAATGGTTTGTTGGTAGTGCTACATCTGTTCGTGCTAGGTTTTTTGTGACTAATGAGAGGCTAACCATAAAAGAGATCATTGATAGTGATCTGGTATATATACTAAACCCAGCTGAGAATAAGTATTTGTACATTTAATAGTTCCATTCTTATTAACTTGACTTGACATATTTGCATTTTGTAAGGTTGGTACTTTTGTCACTCTTGTCACTATTGAAAGCATAGATGCTGATCATGGGTGGCAATATCTAAGCTGAAAATACCACAACAAAAAAGTCGTGCCAACAACCAATGTTGATGCTGATAACCGTCCCTTGTTCTTCTGCACTACATGCGATAAGGAACACATTGAGGTCATTTCCAGGTAACGTATTCTTGGGTAGAGAGGAAGAGTTATTAAATGTATTTTTATGAAAGCAACTGTGACATTGAACGAGAGTAACGTCTATATGAGTGTCATTTTATTCTTTTGTTTTCATGTTCAAATTAATATCCATGTGTTCCTCTTATTATTATTATTATTATTATTAAATATCCAAGTTCAAATTAATATCCATGTAACGTCCATATTATTATTATTTAAATTATTATCCATGCCGGCAACATTGTCAATATTAAGGACGATTCAAATTTATTTGATTACCATCCAGCTTTCTACCAATTTCTATGACGGTATGTCATTTAATATTATTTTTTGTTCAATAAAATTTAGAAATAGTTTTATATCTATCAAATAATGTTATCCGGCCCAATAACTTACAAAATCTAATATATTTTTTGCAGGTGTCTAATAGATTTGGTTTTCTTTATCGAGAATTTTTTACTTCATAGATTTATATTATTTATGGATAATAATTTTAATTTTATTTATAGACAATATTTATAGATAATATTTTGAAATTTATTATATTTTCTTTTAATATGTCTACATAAATTTGACGAAAAAATTAAACATAATACTACTATTCACCTAAAATTAAAAATTACAACACATATACAATACAATTCTATTTACAAAAGATAATATAAAACCTGTTACTTCTAAAACTATACACTATTTAGAAATCGGATTTTGAATGAAAGTATCTTTTGAATGAAAGTATCTTTTCTCCATGGCTAAAACTTTCTCCAAATGATGGTAGTATGATGATCTACAATCCGCTACTTGTAAAACTATAGACTATTATAATAATTTTTTGAACTTTCTTATGCCCGCACAAGCGGTCACCTAGTTGGGTTTTAAATGAAATCAAAGGTGACTAACTCTAAACCACCAAAGTTTCAACCTTTACATTAGGCCTGGGCATTTTACCCGGACCCGAAGACCCGACCCGGAACCGACCCGAAAATGTGCGGTTCGGGTATGAACCGAACCGATCATTTTACCCTATTGGGTCTTGATGTGGAGGACCCGCGGGTCTTGGACCCAAACCGACCCGAACCCGAGACCCGATGGGGTACCCGAAATATCCAAAACTTCTAGTATATATTATGTATATATATATATATGTTTTAGTATTTTTATGGTATTATGAGTATTATTTTATGTTTCGGATTTGGGTTTTTGGATATAATTACGGGATTTAAGTAAAATTTTAGGTTTTTAAAAATATAATCAGATAAAGTTTTGGATATTTTTATGTCTTCGGGTCAGGTTTTGGGTAAAATTTCGGGTATTTTTTGGGTATTTAAATATTTTTTGGTATTTCTGTGTGTTTAGGTATTTTTTGGGCCATACCCGGTAGGACCCGAACCGAACTCGACCCAAAACCGAACCGAACCCGACCCAAAACCGAACCGAATCCGAACTGATAAATTCTAATTACCCGATTGGGTTCAACTATATAAGACCCGAACCGATCCGGACCCGGTAGGACCCGAACCGAACCCGAACCGACAAAGTCTAATTACCCTATTGGGTCTAAATATCTAAGACCCGAAGGACCCGGACCCGACATGACCCGACCCGAACCCGATCCAAACCGGAAAATGCCCAGGCCTACTTTACATAACGTTTTGTTCTGTGACCACCAAAGGATAATTGGGTTTCAAATGAAATCAAATGGGAGTAATTCTAAACCGCTAAAATTTCAACCATTATATAAGATTTCTAAACCACTTGAACATCTCTCCTCGAAAGCATTCTAATAACATCCACTTGTACCTGCTCTAACAAACTTTTTCATACAATCTTCCATCTTCTTGGTTGCTTGGGTAGCTTTTTTCGGTGCTTTAATTGACTTTCGGCACCGGAAGATTGACGTACATATGTTCCTGAGTACTGTTTACGTATGGAACCTAAACCCTCTCTTGCCGTTGATCCTTAGCACTCTGCGTGAAAAATATCCCATCACTGCCCTTGAAATCGCTTCTGCGATTCCCAAGTTTGATAAAGACTGGACGAATAGATCGCCTAGGTTTGAACCGGAGAAGAAGCCATCCCCGATACCCGAGAAGAAGCCATCCCCGAGACCCGAGAAGAATCGATCCAACGAAGAGAAGGGAGAGAAACTCCCAGCCCCTGTCCCTGTCCCTAAGAAAGGTGATTGCAGAATAAGTAACTACTTCCATGAGTATGAAGACAACAGCAACTCTGATGCAAACGCTAAGGTAAAGAAGGCGACTTTATATCCGAAAGTTTTCTTGAGAGCTATTACAATGGTTTTTATAGGATCTGTAAATAATGTGTATTTGTTGCTGAGAGGGATCCTTGGACTCATTTGGCGCCGATCATAATCTCTTGTCCTGTCACTAATTTTAGTTCCTTCTTCCTACTCTGCTTTACTTTTCCATTCTAACTATGTGTTTCTTTAGCTCCGGCCGCTAACTTATCTTCTGCTTCTAGTATACTGAAGAAAACGAAGCAGATTAAATCGTATGTAAAACAAATACTACTTAGTTGACATATTAAAAGCCATCAATCCTTTTTTTTGTCTCTTGGTTTTGCTAGAGCTGATGATGTTGAAGGTTTAGAGTCACTTCGTCGGGAAGATCGGCCAAAAATAAGGAAATATAGAAAATATGTCGATTATGGAGAAGGGACTAGCACCAGCACCAGCACAGCCAACAGCGGTGGCAATGCCAAGCTAGAATATGGGATCCAAGTGTCACAAACTTCTCGTTCTGGTTGCAGAAAGTGTAGCGAAAAAACCTTGAAAGGAGAGGTACAATGTTGTTCTACTTCATCTGTCATACGATCTCACTGGTTGTAGCATTTTGTATGAACTTTTTTTTTCATTCTTTTGGCTATTGTGATGTTTTTTTTTCTTTCCAGGTACATATATTCTCTAAGCCTGAAGGTCAGGCTAACAAGGGTTTTATGTGGTACCACGCAAGATGTTTCCTTGAAATGTCTCCCTCTACTGAACTGGAGAGTTTGTCTGGGTGGGGGAGCATACCAGACTCAGATCAAGAAGCTCTTCTTCCCTTGGTTAAGAAAGGTATGCCAGCAGCCAAAACTGTTAAGAGTCTTAAGGTGTTTGGTAACGAAATGAATTCCTTGTTATAGAAGCCTGATTTGCAGTACTGTTGCCTGATGTCTTTCTCTTAATATCTTTTCACACAACTGGGACAGAGACAGCTGAAGCAAGTCAAACAAATTCAAAACCAGGCACGAAAAGAAGAAAGGATTCTGATGACAACGAGAAGTCGAAACAAGCTAAGACTATGTCTGCAAGCGGTGCTTTACAACCTGGTAGCAAAGAAAAGGAAATGGAGGCACAAAGTAAGGAATTGTGGAACCTGAAGGATGACCTGAAAAAACATGTGTCAACAGCTGAGTTGCGGGGAATGCTTGAAATAAATGAACAAAGTACAAGAGGATCAGAACTTGATCTGCGGGATAAGTGGTAAGTTACATTGCTAAGTGGAGATAAATTGCTTGGAAAATACGTTCTCCTTATTTTTATTACTGTTATGTGGGTATTCTTAAAAGGTAGTTTGGGTTAGAGGTTTCGATTCATAATCATATTCCCGACCTATCTACCTTCTTGTTTCTTTTTAGTGCTGATGGCATGATGTTTGGCCCACTCGCTCTCTGCCCCGTTTGCTCTGGTCATGTTTCCTTCTCTGGAGGTATCTACCGATGCAGTGGGTCCATTTTGGAATGGAGCAGATGTTCTCATACTACTTCTGATCCAGACCGCATCAAAGGGAAGTGGAAAATCCTTGAAGAAACAGAAAATCAGTTCCTTGTGAAGGTAAACCAGTTGCTTTGTAGAGTTGATATTGGTCTGGATTAGGCTAGATTTGGTGGAAATGGCATTAAGTTTATCTTTTTTGCTTTTATGATTTCTTACAGTGGAATAAGTCGCAGAAGAGTGTGAAGCCAAAACGCATTCTGAACCCTATATCACCCGCTGGAACATCCCAGGGTCAAAGTTCTAAATCTGTAGCTGACTCCTCAAGGAGTGAAAAGCTGGATGATCTTAGAGTTTCAGTTTCCGGATCCTCTAAGGAACGCGTATGTCCTCCTTCAGATATTTTAGTTCCAGATTATATTTTCACTTCATTGCTTGTAGAGTTGATATATGTATGGCTCAGGTTAGATTTGGTGGAATTGGCATTAAGTTATATTTTCTTATGATATTTTGCAGTGGAATAAGTCGCAAAAGAGTGTGAAGCCAAAACGTATTTTGAACCCTATATCACCCGCTGGAACATACCAGGGTCAAGGTTCTAAAGCTGCAGCTGACTCTTTGAGGAGTGAAAAGCTGGATGATCTTAAAGTTTCGGGTGTGGGATCCTCCAAGGAACTTGTATGTCCTCCTTCAAATACTTTATTTCATGATTATATTTGCACTCCTGATAGAATCATTTTGCAGCAAGTATGGAAGAAAAAAATTGAGGAAGTCGGTGCAGAATTTCATGCTAAAGTTAAAAAAGGTACACATTACACATACGGTTTAGTTTAGCCTACTGTGAACCTGTTTTAAACTTTAGTATATATCTGTTTCACAAATTTGCAGGTACAAGCTGTTTGGTTGTCTGTGGCCAGACAGATATGGAAGATGCTGAAATGAGAAAGGCAAGGTAGGATGGTGCCTTTACTGTGCTGCCATTTTTTAACTCATCACAATATTGTACTTGCTCTGAAATTTTGGCGTTTATATATACGTGGTAGGAGGATGAAGGTGGCAATTGTTAGAGAGGATTAT